CAAATATATTTGTCAGAAGAGAAATTAACTTTGAGAAGATATCTTCTCAGTTTCTTTCTTTCTTCAGCTTCTTATAATTACTGATATAGTGATCATCAGCTTTACAGTTAAAATAGAGATCTTTATTAAATCTTTTTTAGTATTTCTTCACAGTGAGTGAAGAATCAGAATACTTGAAATTCTTCTTTACTTTCTTCACACTGAAGCTGTCACAGTGTTATTTAGATTCTGTTATTAATTACTTAGAAGAGATCCTATTGATCTTTTTCTCAGAGAATTAATTATTCAAATAAATCTGAGAAGTCAGGTTAATAAGCTCAGTGTAATTAATTAATGAACTCTGATACTATGATATCATTGTCTGCACTCTGTAAGTCAGCTTTATAAGATAAAGCTGTGTCTTTAATTGATTCAAATCATCAGTTAATTTCTCTTAATATTCTTTAAATCTTGCATTGAAATTAGAAGAATTCTCATTATCTTATTAATATAATAAGTTGAACTAGTATACTGCTGTGAAGCTGCAGTTGTAGTAATCTCTAATTTAATTTAGTAGAAAGTTCTTAAATTCTTCTTAAGTTATTACAGTATCAGTATACTCAAGCTCTCTCTTCTTAATAACTCAAGTAGTCACAAAGATGTCTTTAAGAAGATTGACAGTGTATATTACTTGTATCTCATAAGTATTATACTGGCTTGAATTAAGGTGAAATTTCTGTTCAAGAATACAGATAAAGCTGTGAAATTCAGACAATATATTTCTTTTATATCTCAGAGAATCTCTGATCTTAATCTCTCTATCTTCATAATAGACATAGGTGTGTAGAGACTGTGATGATAACAGAGTGATTGAAGAACTCATATTAAAGTATACAGTGAATTCAGAAATCTCAGATTTCTGCTAAAGTAGAGATATATACACTCTAGAAAATGATGTAGAGTTTCTCTCAGAGAGTGAGATCAGATCAGTCTCAGCACAGATGTATAAGATTATATCAGTTTATTAATAGAGCTTGACTGATTCAAACTTGTAATCAGATCAAGTGATTTGAATTGTAATATAACAGAACTGAAGTAATGACTAGTCAGCAGTATTATATAGAGATAGTTATTTAAGAAGCTGTATAAGTGAGCTTGACTATCTTGCTTGAATAGTAAGCTTGTAGACTACAGAGTTATTGTAAGAATATCACAGATATAATACTTAGTATACTAAGAAGATTATATGAGAAACATAGTAACTCTTGTATATATTTCAGTAGAAGAAAAACAAATCACTGACTTCTTTAATGATGAGTCAGTATCTAGCTATTTTATATAGATAATGAGTGAATACTCTTCTCTCATTCTATAAGTGAGAATAGCTGAAGTGATATCTCAGTAGCATCTCACTGCTAAGAAAGAGTAATCTACTGACCTTATATAGAAGTGAAGTTCTTATATTCATCAATCAGATCTTTCTATAATATATCTGAATAATGTTATAGAGTGATTGAAAACCGGTTCAGACAGCATGAAATCATCCATATGAAAGTAATGAGCCGTGTGAAACCGCAGCAGAGCCTTGACGCGGCTGAGAGCGTGACAATTACTCTCAGAATTGAAATCAATTCATTCTGTTTTTCACATTTTCTATTCAAAACTCTATAAGTAACACTCTGAGACAGAGCTATCTTAGCTGAATAATATTAAGATTAAGAGTGATACTGAATATCTTATAAAGAAAATATTAAACAAGTGAATATATTACAGTAAGTAGACTGGCCGGCGGGACCATGAATTTCACATTTAGTTCCATTTGGTCTGGTCTCATACATTTCTTGGCGTGAGTCCCACCAGGACCAAGCCTTAAAAAAATCTGAAAATGAACCATTTCTGAGAGAAATGACATGAAAAATGACCAGATTTAATTCAAGAACAGTGAAATGAGAGTAATTTCTCAGAATAAACTGTGAAAGATGATCATTCTTCTAAAATCAGAATGAGACTGAGACTGAAGATCAAAATCAGTCTCATTCAGTTCATTCAGTGATTGCTTATATAATCAGAATTTGATAACAATTATTGATAACACTCATGAAACAACTAAATACATTCTTGTGTAAGTTTATTCTTCACTTTTTCATGAAAACTACACTTCTCTGATATACTGTGATCAGAGGTATTAAACTATCTGATAATTTCATGTTTTACAATCATGAGTTTCTTGATTGTTTCTTCTTGTAATTGTTCTCAGTGATAGTGATAAATATCTCAACTTGAGTTGAACTTTCACTTCATTTTCACCCCTGTCAATGAAATTGTCAGAATATCACATGCCATCAGTGCAACAGTTGAATATATACTCTTAACAATTTTTCATAACTCTAGAATTGATTTAGCATGTAAATTTGTCAGATCATCTTGAAGATAGCAGTCAAATTCAGTTTTATAAGCATGTAGTTTTGCCTGATTTTCAGTTGCAATCAATGTATGCAAGTCCTGTTTCAAAGTTAGTATTATAGTTCTATAAGATATGAAGTATTATCAAAGATTGTTACTTACTAGGGAATTGTATTTCACTGTCTTCACATCTTGAACATCTGCTCATTCAAATCTCTGATAGTTGGCATTGTAGTAGTCTCAGGCTAATTTGACATACAAGTCTCATTCCTCCTCTATTTAATCTTGAGAAGTGTAGATGTTAACTTGACAGAAGAAATCTAGTAGAGCTGCTACAGTATAGTACTCTGCAAAAGATTGTTCAGTTTTGCTGTAGTAATATGCCAGTTTATCTCTTACAGCAATAATAGCCTGTGCTATAGCATCATCCCAGACTGAATTTCTTTTTGAGTGATTCAACTGCTTCTCAAGATGAGTAAATAAACTGTTATACACTCACCAGGCTGACTGCAGCATTGGTGTACAAGTGATTGAGACTGTCTTTGTTATCTTATAAAACTGAAACAGTAAATCAATCATATATTTCAACTGAGTTCACTTCATATCAGAAAGTTTCAATATCTGAATCTTTTCTTAATCAGAGTGTTGCATTCAATGATCAATCATCTGATGCAATTGAAGAGTCTGAATAGTCATCTCATATGTTAAACTTCATCATATTCTAACATTCTGTATCATATTCAGTGATGTGACTGATTTGTTTATTTGTTGAATATCATGAAATCATTATTGTTATTTAGAGAAGGTACAAATTGCATTAGCAATGTTTTGAATCTGTGATATTTAAATTATTAGTCAATCTATTCAAAAATAACAGTAGCATTATCAAAAAGCATTATCAAAAAGCAATATTAAAAAGTATTGTTAAAAAACATTATCTTTTATAAAGTAGATATAAAAGTTACTTGAGTAATCACTTTCATCTCATTCTCATTCCAAGAACCAGTCATCTCATTATTCTTCATCTCAATGTTAAGATTCTTTATCAGTGTTTGTATCACAAGTTGAACCACATGAGCAATGCAGAGAATATGACCTTGTTTATCATTTCAGAAATACAAAGCCAATTTTTGCTCTAAGCTCTTCATCATAGTGTAGTTATTCACAGCATTGTCAGTTGTAATTGTAAGAAGACTGAGACTAATATCTCAATAGTCATTTTTAATCACAGTCATTAATATCTCTGTTATATAATTCTCAGTATGACTACTGATCAATGATTTAAATCTAATTAATGTCTCTTAATAAGTCCAGTTCTCATCAATATAATAACATATAACTCTCATAAATATAAGATTGTTTGTACTAGTTCATGCATTCACTGTGAGAGACACTCTTCAATGATTCTTCAACTCTGATTCTAGATGTTGCATATTGACTTTGTAGTGTGTCTCAAGGTTGGACTGAAGACAGAATTGATGTGGAATATGAAGATTTGAATTAAGTATTTGAAGAAGTGTTCAGAATTCAGGGTTTTCAATTGCTTAAAGAGAAAGATTCAGAGATATACATATATGAAGTAATTATTCACAGAAGTTATCAGGTGAGAGTTGTGAAATCAGAGTACTAATATATGATCATTTTCACATGATTTTCTTCAAATTAGAAAGTTAGTGTTATCAAAAATTGTTATCTGATAGAGCAACTTATCAGCTCAGTAGTAATTTTCTGATTATTTTTCTTTTATTGTCTGCATTCTGATGACTTCAGATGTTGGGAAATTTCTTCAGAGTCATGACCAGTTTATAATGAATGTTTCTGAATGAAGTTACAGTGATTATAGCAGAGAGATAACTCTTCAGTAATCTGCAATATAATCTGTTGATAATTATTTCATAGATCATCTCAGTATTTGTGTTGAGTTTTTCATAAATTTCATGATCTGGAATCAGATGTGAAGAATGAAGTGATCATTTATCATGATTGAAAGAGAGCATTCTGTGTTGAATTGTAAATAATGTAGACTTTGTAATTTACAGTGATTTCTTGAAGAGTTTGTGAATCTTCAATAGAAATAAAAGAAGTGAAAGAAGTGAATTCAGAAGACATGATAATAATTTGTAAAAGATGACAATTTATTTTCAATAACTGATCACTGATGTGTGCAAGAAGAATTAATATAAGAGAAAATAATCTTGTTTCTTAGCTTAGTTATAATTTTAGTACTAACTCAGATTGAATATCATTGATGTATAAAAGTAAATAAACAATCTTGATTAATCTCTGTCATATTTCTTGAAATATATTAATATTGTGAAAGAGAGTGTTATCAAATTGCATTATCAGATAATATCATTAAAAATATATTAATATTATGAATATCAATGTTGAAAAAATGTTGATACTTATACATTATAGTGATTTGTGAATCATGATAGTTAAATATATATATATATATATATCATTCCTGACTTGATTACAACTTGTACAATAATTTTTGAAAACTCAAAATCAATTTTAATTATTAATAATTAAAAACTTAAACTTATAACTAACTAATATAAAAAGAAAAAAATCTACTTCTTCTCTTTCTCATTCTTCTTATTATTCTTCACAATTCACTTCTCATTCTTCTTCTTCTTCTTCTTCTTCTTCTTCTTCTTCTCCTTCTCATCTAAGGTGATAATCATCTCAAAATCTCTCTTCACTGTCTTCTCAGAGAAGGATTCCTGCTGCTCTCTCTCAGCCAGGTCAACCTGCATCTCAAAATCCTGCATTTCCTGGTCTACTGTCTCAGGTTCCACCTCAGCAGCAAGTAGATTGACATGCTCAGAGAGCAGGACTGTCTTCTCAATATTCTGAATCATGGAGTGCATTTAAGATCTGAACAAGGTCTCAATTCCCTTCTTCTCTGTCAGCTCCTGCTAATCAATTAGAGAACAGAAGTATTATCAAAAATCATTATCTCTCAATAAATAAAAAACTTATCAGTTTTGACTTCTTTGTCTCTCACTTTAATACTCTCTTAATCTTCTTCTATCACTGCTTATTTATAGTAACACTCTTCTTCTCTCTCTCTCTCTTCATCTTAGACTCAAATCATTCTTGAGACTTCTTCTGATCTCATCACTGCTGTATAAGACTCTTCACTGTCTTCTTCTTCAATCTCTCACAGGTGATGACATCTGCATTATTTCTATACTTAGTTCAGTCTAAATCTATCAGAAGTATTACTTAAAATTATTATCATTCTACTCTCTTACAGAGCCTCTTCAAGACATCATAACATGTCTTGTGATCAGTCTTTTCTCACTTGAACACCTTCTTCTTCTCTCTCTTCAATCTATGACAGTGCTCACATGCCTTGGTGGTCTGCAGAACTGCAGAATATTTGAAGAAGAATGACATGATTAATTTCAGTGAGCATTGAAGCGAGGTGAAGGCAGAAGAGGCGGCCAGAAATGATATAATAATGATGATAATGATGATAATAATAATAATGATAATGATAGTGATGATGATGATAATGATAATGATAATAATGATGATGATGATGATAATGATGATGATGATGATGATGATGAAAGAGAGAGTGCATTGGAATATATTACTGACTTATCAAATATAAAGAGATAAAGAAAATATTAACAGCTTTCAAAGATATATGAAAACAGCTACAGTGTTGCATAGCAACATTATCTTCATTTAATGCATGCAGTGTTAATATTCTTTGTATACAGTTATCATATAATCTATATCAGAGATACATGCAGAAAACAGATCTTTGTTACTAGAAAGAATGATTACAGTGATTCTCTGTTTTTATATTATAAAGATAAGTTATTCTCATTTCTTTCTTCTCTCTTTTCTCTTCTTCTTCAACTCATCACTAAATTCAAGCTGATATGAAAACTATTAAAACACTTCTAGAAACTCTCAAATTGAAGAGTATAGACTAATCAAATTTTAAATGCAGAAGAATCAAATTATATTCAATATTACTAATTATTCATCTTCTCTCAATAAAATCACAGTCATGTCTTCTTTCTCCTTCTTCAAACAAAACATGGCCCGCGAAAAGTGAGTACCACGCCAGGCCATAATGACTAACACAGTCTCAGCATGCAGAGCTGTATACATACAGTGTGTGCTGAACTGAGAGACTGTGTGAGTTACAAACCAGCACCAGCATTTCAGAGAGAGCTGTGCAGCGTGAGAAAGCTGCAACCCTCAGTTACATGTGCAGAGAGTGAATCATTGTAGTAAGTGCATGTGTATTGCATGGAAGTAATGCTTTTTAATAATACTCAGTCTCTGATATCATGAAAATAGAGTCTCTCTGTGAGATCTGTTTTTATCAGAAGTCAGAGAATCTTATATTTTCCAAGATCATCTTCACTCACCTTGTCTATGAAATCAATGAGAAGAATCATTGATTTCAGTGTTCTGCTCTTAATGTTATTCAAGTGACAGCAGAGTTCACCCTGACCACACTTTTTAAGTGTATGTTTTCTAAATATTCACATTTATACAGATATATACTGATTATTTGTTAGATAATGTTAAGATAATGACTTATCATGACTGTGTTACTCTCACTGTGAGAGATACACAGTTAGTGATAAACATTGCAAAGACTCTGAGAAGTGAGTATTTTAAGAGTACTACAGCTCTGTGATCTTGATTTTTTTTGTTTTTATTTTTTATTTTTTTCTTTTTCTTTTCTTTTTTTTTTTCATTCATTCTGATTTTTTCTTGTTTTTGTTTTGTTTTTTGTTTTTTGTTTTTTTTTTTATATTTTATATTTTTTTCATAATTAAAATTATATGAATTATGATCTGTGTTCAGAAAAGTAATGATATTTGATAATACTCTCTATTGAATTTTTAACAAATGAGCACTATGTTATGATATTATGTAAGTGAGAAGTGATTTCATAATCTCATTTAATGTCATTCTCAATAATAAGATCAGAATGAAAATGTGACTAAGAATTCAAATATATTCTTTATCTGAGACTAGATTTTTATTTGAAAAGTGAATCTGAAATCTTTAATATTTGAAATAATGTGATTTAGAATCAATGTGATGAACACAAATCATGATCAGAAGTAATGCTTTTAGGCAATGTGACAACTGTAAAGTTTGATCCTGGTCCCAGACACAGTCACACGGTCAGTTTAACAGTAAGCTTCAATATCTTATTAAATAAGAAAATTATTCATTATCAGAGAATTCATGAAAATCACTTGAGTATTTGAAAAATACTGAGAAAGAGATTGTAAGCTATAAGATAACTAGTAAAGACTGCTCTGTTACATGTCAGAGACATTGAGTAAGAAATACTGCTTAAAACTTCTTATTTTTCTCGGCCCGGTGGCGTAGTGATTAACTACGCTACTATGAAGCCTCAATTAGCGGCCTTCTCTCCGAGGAATGAATGTCAAGAGAGAGCAGGTTCAAACTCTGCAAGAGTCATCTTAATCACAGCTTTTACTGTTAAGTTATAAAACAGTGCTGAGAGTCTCTGAATACACTATAGTGAATCATTATCAAGCTTAAGATATTCATTTCAGAGGTTTTCAGACACTAATTCTCACTGATTTTAAAGTTAACAGTCTCTCAGATACTTTAAGTTAGATCAGTACTAGAGTAATTAAGGTCTAGAATACTCACAGAATAGTGAATTATTGTTAAGCTTAACTGATCAGGTCTCATCTCTCTTACTCTAGACACTCACTTCTAAGAAATTGATATTTAAAAACTATCTGATTAGAACACTCTGAGCCTAGTAAGAATCTAGATAAGATAAGACCTAGACACTCTTAATAGATAATTAGTGTAAGTAAGACTGTGACAGTCAATTGATAGACTGAAATACTGAGATTGATAGCTGAAAGATTAGAGACTTAACTAGAATTAAGTAGCTCTGATATTATTCTTAGTAAGAATCTCACTTATAAGTAAGCTAGTTATAGAAGCTAGCTGAGTGATGACTCTTTAAAGAGAATGATAATCTCTGAAGCAGGTCTGAGAGAACAGAGACAGCAGTCAGTTATATAGAGTGTTAAAATATATATATAGCTTAAGATATAAACTGCAGAGATCTTATTCTATAAATCTCTTTTTACTGTACTTATTTCTTTCTATTCTTTTTTATCTATCTATTTAATATATCTATCTTTAAGACTATGTTCTTTTTTTCTTTGTCATGATATTTTCAAATAATTTCAAAGTATCAGAAAGTGTTGAAATACTGTAATTTATAAACAGTTTTTATATTCTGAGCTGAAATTTTCTGATTTTATGTATCTGAAATTGATAAATGTATAATAGTTAACTCTATAGATATAGGAAAAACTCTGAGATCTAAAGCTTCTTAGATAGATATTATAGTCTCTGACTGTATACATCTATAATTGAATAATAATAATAATAATAATCTTATTTTTCTCAAAGAGCTTTTTAAAGATAATTTTACAGTAATAAGCTAGTATTTTATAAACTCTGTAACACTCTTCTTTTATTTTCTCTTAAAGAGTTTTTAAAAGTTTAATAAGACTATACAAGTGTAAAATTTCTGAAGCAGTTAATAAGAAAAGAAAGAAATATTTGAAATTAATAAGATTAATATTATTAATCTACAGACTGCTGCTATTCTAATAGAGTTACAGTCTGTAGAAAAAGTAAAAAAGAGAATCAGAATCTACTTACTAATAATCTCACTCTTATTAAACTCATTCTTCACTGTTAAAGTCTTCAGTATAGACATTTTTATCTACTGAGAAGTTAACACTGCAGTACTGCAGAGAAGCATACTGTAGAAGAGTATAAAAGATACTTAAAGTATTAACTTATTAATTTATAAAGTATCTCAGTTATCTGCTTTAATTGAAGTGAGATTCTCTTTAATTAGTGATTAATCTCTGTAATACTTTTAACAGTAATACTGATTAATCTCTTCTTCTTGAGATCAGTCATTCTGAGATGTTTTTTCATCTCAAAGACTCATGCTTTCATCTTCTTCTGCAGATAAGTAAGAGAGATCTTCTCAGTCTTGATAGAACTTATTAATACTTGAAGCTTTAAGACTCTTACTCTGTACTACTTAGACATCTAAGCTTCTTATCAGAACTGATATAACATCTTCTTATAGAGTAGATAATACTTACAGAAAGACAGAAGTTATTATTATAAGTATAACAGAAATAACAGAAGTGAGAGAAGAGATGGATATATAAAATTCTCTCTTTCTTCAACTGCTTAACACAGTGTAGATAAGTAGTAGTGTTAGTCAGAGACTATATCAGAGCCTTCTCACAGAGAGAAGATAAAGAAACTGTGAGACTCTGTGAACTTAACTCAGCAGTATTTTAAGCAGAGCTCAGATATATTACAGAAGAGAAACTACAGATTGAGCTTCTCAGAACTACTGTTTCTGAAATCAAGCTCTCTCTGAGATTCTCTTTAATAACTACATGAGGGTATATATCACTGTGTTGACTGAGAGAGAGAGCAGTATTACAACAGTGATGAGAAAGATAGAGATAGACTGAATACAGATGACTGATCAGCAGAAGAAATGACATCTCACTGCAAGATACAGCTACTACTGCCGCGCTGTAAGAGATGCAGAAGAAGAAGAAGATGTGATATAGAGTAGTACTCTATAGCTGATTAATATTACTATCTCTGCCTTTAACCTGGCTTTCTTAACAGTTACGAAGACTGCAGCTGCATCATAAAGACATTTATTACTTACTAGAAAACATCAGAATAAGTCTCTTATTATCTCTCAAGAATGATACTCTCATGCACTTACTATTGCAGATAAGAGAGAGAAAGAGAAAAATGTTTCACAGAAAGA